CGGTCTATTGAAACAAGACTTCAAGACTGTCCGTCGTGGATTACTGATAATAAGCCGTGCATCTTTAATTTCTACCGAGTCATTAATCACAGAACTTACCAATAGTCATATGAAGTCTTGTATGACCCTTGCCACTAAGATTCTAGACGACCCCCACCTATCCTTGACATGTTGACTTATCTTCTTCTTGTCGCTGCCACCTGATCACTCGTTCTTCTTATTGGTACCTACCCTCCCGAATAAACATTTATAAAAACTCCACTGTACCCTATCTGGTTCGCATCTTGACCAACAAGGAACGAGTTATAAATGAATTACGTCAATCTTTAATTGGAAGAATCAAACTTTAGAGACATTTTTTTTTACACAGCACTCCATTGAATTTGTTTGTACTTCTATATGTTCTGCGGTGTGACGACCAGTGTACGATTTTTCACGAAAATGTAAGCATACCTCAGCTTTCAGAGTTGTAAAAATGCAAATTCTGTTTTCATCTGGGTAGCGGCATGAGAATAACTTGGTTTGGTTCTTGCGTCAGAGCGTCATATACATATTCGGTGGAGTTCACACACACACACACACACACGGAATTCGGTGTAGATGCTCGTTTTGTTTTCGTTACACAGTCGATTGAATGAAACGCCTATTTCTATGGGTCAATTGTTGCATCATATTGTGCTGGATCCTCCCTATCTTTTCACGCAACACAGAAGATATGCGCATGGTAAAGATCAAGGGCGATGAAACATGAGTATGAAAACCCTAACCTGGAGACCATCGTATAGGTCGCTTTAGGCTTCCTGGATGGAAATCGCTGAATCTCCGTGTAACCGATGCTTGGAAACACTGACCGATTTTTTGTTTCACGGTTCACCTACGCATGTCACCAGATAGATTGCCACGGCGAGCGATGTTTGCCGAGGCAGGTAGCGGTTCATCATTATCATTGAACAGATGATGGTAGCGGTTGGAAAAAGATCAAAGAATTTCACGCTAAGATCTGGCATGATGGTATGAAAACCCTAACCAGGAGACTTGGTCACATAGGTCCCGTTAGGCTCCCTGGCCGGGGGCCCCGAGATCATGATCACCCGATGGTTGGAGACTCAGTGATGTGGCTAGATGTTGCATGTAGTGGCGCTCATGCATCTGCTCATTATTCTTGTAACTTCAGTCCATATACTCGCTGTCTTTCGCTTGAATTTGCTCTCAACATTCCAATCTTCATTCTGCTGTTTTATCCAAATGGGAAACTTAAAGATAGCAACCAAAAGCTTCGCACGAAAGCGCATGGATAGTGGTTGTAAGAACTGAATCTAATTAGCAATAGTGAGAAATATTTTCTTCTGGAATGCACCAAGCAGCCTATATATGAATTCGGTTTATCCTTTTATGTCGTTGTCGCACATAAACCCTCTCGTATTAATTGCTGCCTGGTTCATTTCTTTCGCTATCCGCGCCGCATTTCCGAAGTTTAGGTGAGTATTTTCTTTCCTTCAATGAAAACTTTGCGACCGTTTGTGGATCGGATGAAGAAGTTCGCCAAATTTTTAGTAAGTTCGTGGAAGAGTAAATCTTTCATTATGCTATCTGTTTATCTGTGTATAATTTGTTTATATACCGGGAAATGGTTACAACCAATGCACATACTACTTCTAATGAAATATATCGATATGCATGGACAATTACAGTTTATAAATGCATCAAAGATTGCCTCATTTTACATTTCCACCTCGCATCAGGTTGAAGCCTGGCTATCTTGTCAACCGTTTACCGATTTCTATATTCGTTTTCTGATGGTAGAGTACGACTGGGTGCTGTTTCGCGGTGAATGATTGGTGCGCACTATTGTTCTTGTTTCCTTCTAACAACTGTCCTTAAATCTGCAGTGAATACGTTCAGTCTAGCTATTACCCCTTGACTATCATTCCACGCTACATTCCTATTCAATCAAGCGCGTCCCGCAACATCGTGGCGAATATAAATTTATCTACTGGACACCAACTTTCATTTTAGGATTTTATGGACGTATTGCGCCTTAATATTGCCGCTGTGATCGCATTTTATGGTTTCCTATATAAACTAGATGTAACTACAATCTATGATGCGGGAATAGACCGGTTGGAGGATTACCCGTTGTAATTTGCGATAGCACGTTTGATTGTTTGTACTACTGCATGTTCAATCAAACCGTTTGTCAGATATGGCAGTGTCACTTATAGTCAGACCCCACCACTATTTCGTGTGAGGACAGAATTGTTCAGTAGGCAACTGCGCACCAGTTCACGCCGTCCGAAATGCCAAGAGAACCAACGGTGTTCACGAAGATGGAGCTGCGGATTTGTGAAATCAGCGCTTGTATCTCAAACCAAAGAGTGCGGACTGCCATGCGTACGAGGCAGTAAGCAAAGGAGATGAGAGAACACTGTGTCGGCGCGTAGTATTGACATATCATTGAAACTCAATGTGTCTGGACACTAGGATTTGGCAATTGTTTTTAATTCACGTTCCTTTTTATTGCACATTGAAAGATCAATCAAATTACTCGATACAGAAGTGGGTAGATAGATTGATAGCGGCCAGACTTGATGAGTTCTATTCAGCCGTATAACGATTCATGTTCTTGTCATGGTAACTACTTCAACGTCCTTTTATTCCTTTGTAAAAGTGGGTTACGAGAAGTCGGCAAGCCCAACAAGATTGTCGAATGCAAAAAGCAGTGTTTGTAGTCTGGAAACCAACCGTTATGCAACAGCTTATCTGCTTACACGTAGCTCTTAATACATTCGTCGCCTCTCACATGCTTTGCGGTTGAGCTCTAGGACATACATTTGCATTAGCAGTTCTAGATAAGGCTAGCGGTTGCTTGATCGGGTTCATTGTGCAGGCATTGAATGCGGCAAACTGAACCGGGTATCTTGGTATAATCGATTCTCTGGCTTTTCATTTGGTTACCGGAGTGGTTTTGTTCTAGGTGATGTACCTACTTTGTTATACTCCATACTCAAAAGAACCATCAATATACAGTTCCTTTTCTATTACGTGTAATTACTTTCAGTTAGTAAGTGCAAATGGAGTTGGCGAATTGAAATTGGGCGTTGATGTGGAGACATTGGCTTGCGTTCGACTTCACTTTCGAGGACTCCGAGCTCGTAGTTGGCTCTCATCGACCGTTACGCATCCAGTGGGTGATACAGATGAAGATGGCGTTCTCGACCCTCGACAAGGAATGGAATTTCCGATACCAGATGTGGACGCAAACGAAGAACCTCGAAGCGCGGTCTGGTCTGACACGGGGCGAACTCGAACACGCGGCCCGCGCATCCGTATGTCTGACACTAACGACGACATTCCTGATCTGGATGAGTTGGACGAGAGCGAGTTGGATATGCCACCACCAGATCACCGATTTGTCTCTGTCAGTTTGGACATCCGCCGTGTGGGGCAGTTGATGGCCAGTCCACGTATCAACGCGTCCTATTTCGTTTGTAGTAAGTCCTGTGCAGCTCGTTCCTAATTCAAAAGTTTTGATTCTCCCAGGTCTTTTATCACGCACACACAAAGCGCAGTAGAATTAAAATATGCTACTCACTGGGATTAAAACGTAGCATTGTGATACATAAATCGAACGTTTACTTCCATTGGATAGATATCACTCAGGTTCGAACCCTCACGTGATTCATTTTATGTCCGTCCCGTCTCCCGGTGAAGATGTTTTCAAATCCAACCATCAGTATTGCCTGCTGTTCCTCCTCTTAGAGCACTGACGAAATTAGACAGGTCACTGACAAAAGGTAATCGTAACCAAGGTCTACCGCACCCCTTACTGTTTTTGATTGATGTACCTCTACTTGGAGATAACGGCAATTTATTGTGGTATATTAGAACAGAATTAAGAACAGATGATCATTACACTGTTTGTTATCATGGCTTGCTCACTTACTCGTCCTCTGTTGATCGACGATCGTTTGGCGTTGATCGTGATGTACTACTCAAACAAGGAAAACCTTTCACTGACGGTGAAGGAATTCAGCGACACTTGTACAACGAGTGTTACGAGAACCGGTGCCAGAGCGCTGATTAACAAATTCAAATCAACCGGAAGTGTACACGATCGGAAACGCAAGGGACATCCACGAACAAAGACGGATGAATGTGGTGTATTCAACGTTTTGCAATGTGTGCATCGAAATCCTCAGACGTCCACAAGGCAAATTGCCCAGGAATGCAACATATCACAGTATTCCGTGCTCAAGATTTTAAAGGAAAACAACTTTCGTCCCTTCAAAGAGGCTCGGCTACAAGAACTTCGTGCCCACGATCCTGAGCGCCGATTAGAGTTTTGCACATGGTACCTGACACACTTGGACATGTGGCAAACACTTTACGGATGAAGCCATTTTTCATGTGAACGGAAATGTGACAAGCTCTATTCGTTGGGCCGTTGAAAACCCAAGAAACTTTGTTGGATCAAAATCGCTTCATAGTCCCAAGGTGTTTGTGTGGACTGGTATTGTGCACGGCAGGATTGTCGAGCCGTACTTTTTCAATGGAAACGTAACAGGTTAGAACAATTTTGCTTATTAAATTGTTTAAGGCGCTTCAGACTTGCAAGTGTTACAAGATAATGTGGTACCTGCCATCAAGCGCATAGAAACTGAAGTTGGTACTACAGTTTGGTTCCAATATGACGATGCACCGCCACACAATGCTCTGGTGGTGAGAAGTATCCTCGACGCGGAATTTAACTGCAGACGTCCCTTGTTGCGTTGACCTAGCCGACCGATCGATAAATGAATCAGATCGGTCGTGTGCTTTTCGGGTCAGCGTAGGAGGAGGATAAGTTCTGAGTCGGACGCTGCCTAAGTGTTGGTAGAGAATCAGTTATGGAACGATGTGCCATGTGGGACATACGGAATGAAAAAGTTCAAGCGATGATGCACTGGGCCAACGCTTGACTCGTCTAAGATACTTACACCATTTTTTAAGCGGGTTACGCGCAAATTTTCCGGCAGGCGTGAGACGGGTGTTTACTTGGAAGGAATTCACTCCTGTTCAGTCAACCGAAGGCCATAGACGCCAGCGTACAGGAATTACGGCAACACTCAAGTAATTATTGACTCATTATCTAAGACTGTTTCTCACAAACTGACCTTAGACCCGGGTTACGATGACCTTTGGCAAGTGACCTGTCTAATTTCATCGGTGCTCTAGGGCAAGTGAGAGTATCGTTCATTCATTCACACAGGCGCGTCCATGCGACGGTGGTTATCGATCGCTCGGATCTGACATCTCACTCCACTCACCCGCTTACCAATCAATCGCGATTGTCGCTCATCCGTTTGCACGTTAGTGCGACAGAGCCCATCAATAGACCTAATGGCCGTGGCTTTGGTAACCACTATAGTAAAAATGACCACATTCGATTGTCCGACAGGATTGCAAGAAAAACTTTGCAGATGACACGGATGTATTTTTAGCAAAATTATGAATCGTCGTTCGTCTCAGCTTGGCTTTCCTTTGAAAATCAACAAGCGCGCTGTTTAGATCAACTGTACACTCCAGTAATCGACTCGAAATCCGAGCATTAGCCAAGGCGATTGATCCAATAACTTCTGCGCCTCATTGATTGAGATAACTACCGGCGCATCCACGAACTCACATTCATCTCCTTTGCGATACTTAGCTTGATTCGAAACGAACTCATCTAATGACCGAAAAAGAGACTTGATACAAAAATTTTAAATAATCCAATTCTTCATCATAAAATTCCAAACAGGTGAGTTATTGTTAGAGTATCAAACTTGGATTAGCCCATTCGATTGTTCAGAGGCACCAGGCACTCTTGATGGTGTTCGATGTGGATTTCACTCTTTGGGAGATCGTTATTTCCCCACTAGGTAAAATCATTCAAATATGATCGAAATGCTTGTGATGATGGGCTACTCCATGCATGATACTCTAAATTGATTGAGCCATTCGCACAATGTGGTAGCTGTCGACCGTGCAGCTCAGGGGTGACGGTTTGAAATCCC